AAGGCGGCACAATCACCGGCTTGAGGATAAAGCGCGGATCTTTTCGCCTCAAATTCGATATCGTCACAACGAAACCGATATCGACGGCGAGCAACCGCAAAAAGCACAATGTCCGACTAAATTCCTTAAGTTAACCAAATTGTTCAGTAAAACAAGAAGGTTTCAGTTTATCTGGTCAAAGGGAATAAATATGGGGATTGGCTGCCACATGAGGCTGGGGACGGAAGCGAATTGTTGGTAAGCTGTCTTCCACAGGGTTGACGTGAATACAGGCCATTGTCATCCGCCCGACACACGCACGTTGAGGGGAACTCAATTCCAGCCAGTTCTCTGCTCCCCAAGGTGTACTAAAGGAAGGAGTAACAATCGATCCCTCGTATTACAAAGATTTGGGTTAACATCTCGGTACGTGCGTCAGGAGCAAATACCCTAAAATGGCACTTTACGAATATAGACATGCTTCTAAGTTGGTAAACCGCAGGCCTACCACCACATTACTCAGGCTCACGAATGATCCCGTATACGACACCCGCAAACAACTCCGTTGAAGGCTTATTACTGGACCAGATCTTTGAATGTCCAGAGTTTTCACGCGTGTGTCCCTTCGTCAATCCATCAGCGAATTGTTGTGTGACTGCAGTTGCTGATTAATGTGTCAGACGGCGTGCACGCGTGCTGATCTACCCTTCAGCACGTCAGAGTCTCGTGATGCGATGTCTGGAAACGCGATCAGAGTTGTGTACCTACCCTCACAAGGCCGGCCTTTTTGAGACCTCATATACACAATATACCCGTGTTCTTATATAAATGTTCTTTGGGTTACTTTGAACTCAGAATAAATATATTTTTGTTAGGCTTCCGCTTGATAGATGACTGCCTGAAGGATGTCATGGGATATAAACAGCACCTAGAAAATGCACCGAAGTAAAAGCCTTTTGAAGTTAACAAGATGACAACAGTGTGCAAATTCATGAGTGATGAGCATGTAGTGGTCTGGCTACCCACCAAGTTACTTTACCAAGAGTGCGCGGCAAAGGAAGTAAAATAATAACGTCGGGTTCAACATACAATAATAAGGAGGTTTCTATAGAGGAAAATGTAGGTATCTCAGGTAGCGTAGATGGTGNTGTTCGCTGACTAGGAAAACTGAATGCAAACGTTTCACCACCACAACCCCCAGCCCACCGATACGCACTACAAGGCTCCAAAATAACACACTGATGATGTCACCTCGGTTGCTGATGAAACGCTTGCAATAAAATTGCCCGGCTCAGCGAACAAACCAACGGCCACCAATAAGGAGGTCAGATGGAACAGACTCATCAATAATTGTTCTCTTTAAAATAGTTACCCGGTGGTCCACGCCAGCGAATAAACAATGATCCAATCATAGTTATCCTGGGGTCTTCTGAACCGTTCCCACACAATAGATTTCGATATCAAGCCTATATTCCCAACCCCGAGCATCATTTTCACCCACCCCGTCTCTGGGATGAGCTCTTCCGTACCCGATGAATTCTTGCCCAGGTATTGCTAGCCTGGTTTTTCTGCTGCGATTTCTGCTTGCCTTCCCCACAAGTTCAAATCCGTGTACGGCGTTCGGGTCGCCGTATGTATTATCCAACCTATTCCCTGCACCTGACTTCCCTACAACAGTGCAACCAGTGAGTCGGCCTAGTTTCAGATTAAACCACATTTTCGAGACAAAACTTGCCATTTGTTCCCATTTTGAATTATCTCCCCTCAAACTCCAGTTTCGCTCGTTTTGACTCCGGTCATTTACCTAACCGCCCAAGGTCACTCATGGCCAGCAATGGTTTTCAGCTTTAGTTCATGTCTTTGTACTAGTCGGACCTCATGCACATTGTTCCCAACAAGTTGGGAAAAGAACCTACCATTACTACATCATTGGATATTCCCCGGTGTTTATGACACTGTCCTCTTTTTGTGCAATCCGCACCCGCAAATCCCCCCAGTCATGCTTCATTCTGATTGTAAAACTATGGTCATGCCGGACGGTATGCCACCCACAAGTTGGGAATGAACATTATTGTTATTATTATTATACCAGAGTTAGCACATGAGACTCGCGAATGAACGCTGTGAGCGCGAGCGGGATCAGGAGAGCGAGTCGAAGCATGTGGCCACGTTTGTATTGCGTGAAAATGTACAAGTGCGCGTTTTGGTAGCCTCTCATATTCAAACAAAAAAACGGTTATGAAATAGAAAACATATGTACAAAACACCTCAGGCATGTCGAAACAGAGTATGCGAACAGAGACTTTCAAGCTTCCCGCATGATAAACTTCAACGGCCAAATTGGTGACGGAAAAGTACATCACTGAGTGAGAGCACCGGGGCCTGCAGGACAAAAATCTCTAGCAGCCTTGCGGAGCTTTTGTTCGACTGTCTTTAGAGCAGTTTACTCATGTATACACTTACCCTGTAAATCAATTTCTTCCTGTGAGTTGGGCCTTACTACCTAGATCAGATGAAGGAATTTGGTCTCTTCTTAAGATGGCACAAAGTGAGAGAAGCTCATACGTGTATGAATCATGGATGTATCCTAAATAAATTACTGCATATTTTCTTGTCGTCTAGCTGTGAGGCTTGTCCGGGAGCAGGGGTCATAATTTTCGTTATAGAAATGCAAGTAGTTCCCGTCATAGGATCAAATTTATTTCTCGGGGCTAATTTGTTGAAATAATTAGTCCTCTGTCGCAATGTTGAGATTCCTTGACAAATTCGAGCTACGACAGTAAGTTCACATTTATTGCACCTATCGTGCTCGCCCCGAAGCTTGTTCTCCCCTATGGATTGTCATTGCGTTATGGACAAAACTTGCTAACCTTTTGGAGATTTATGGTGGTGGTAGGGTGAACAAACACCGGCGGCGGACAAATTTAGCAACGTGCTGATAGGTCGATCTTGCTGCCAATTCTTTTTATGGGTTACGCAGACGACTGGTTCAAGATGTCAGCTTGTCCACGCTTCATGCTGGCGGAGGAAGTTTTGGGCATTCCGCTAAATATGGCTCTCCAATGGAACTGCACTAACTTTGCTGATGGATTGAATCTCGGAATTCGACCACGAATGCGGTTGGGTATTAACCGATGGACTCCGCGAGACAACTCATCCAGGACAAACTTAAGTGGATGGGGTCAACCACTTTAGGAGAAATCCATGGGCTGGGTCATGAGTGGCAGCAGCGCTTCTATATAAGCTCAATTTGAATGCACGAAAAGCTCTTACATTCGACATACCGTTTTCAGCTCAAATTCTGAGGGTTGTACCCCGGTCCGCTCAAGTGTGCTTGCAGCTTCAGCACCATCTTTCAAGGCTACTTAGCTGAGACCGATATCAAGGTCAATGGGGGTGGACTAGTTACTCAGCCTTTTGACGGTGAAACCTGGAAGCATTTGGGTGACCTGAAAGAAACCTGCAGAATATTACAGAGCCTAACACTCCTAAAGCTGAGCGGCGTGGTAGAGAGGAGCCAAGATCCCAGGTCACCGGGCTAAATAGTGAGGCAGGTCTAACCTGAGATTCGGTCGTATAGAACACACTGAGAATTCCCTGGCGCAGGCTCTTTGAGACGGTGATCCAGCACAGTACAATTAGGGATTTTAAGCAAAAGCCCCATATTTGTTGAACCGCAGTACTCGCAGGAGTTTGGGTTCGTGCACGGACGAAAATCAGGCGTTTGCGGAGTTGGTGACATCTTACCCCTCATTTCTGTTCTCCCTAGTTGGCCTGAATGCACAATAGGCGCCCCACATGGAATGTTTTACCAGCCTGTTACATGTTTCACTCCTTTCGGTGGCCACCTAATTAGGTAACCGTTAGACATCGTCACGCAGTTAGCTTTTGCCCACAAGTGAGGTTGATATCACACTGCTTTGCAAACGCCCCGCCCCAAACATCTGCCCATGCACACGGATAAACCTTTGCGCAAGGTAACGATTATCTGTCATGTTTTTTCTAGTGTTGTAGGGTACGTTGAAATGAGCGTGTGGCTGAAGGCAAAAGGTATTTGGGCTGCGGTGTCACGTCCAGAGAACAGTGGTGGGCCAAAATAATATCTGTGAATAGCACCTAGTTGGAGAAAGATTTCACAAACGAACTAATGTTTAGAATGAGGTGACGCATTCGTGAAGATTTGGGAATGCCAAGAGCAGCAGGATGGCGGCAATGCATTCCGAGTTCGGAACTGCTGAGCGTGAACTCTGGTGATCGCAGCGTGGTGTGGCGTTGCATAGGATAAGTTCGGGGAGCCGAAGAATATGAAAAGAGTTCGAAGATGCTTACTGGTATACTTCAGGAAAGGCGCTCTGAAATGGACCTGGCAGATTTGGGTGTGAGTGAAGTAAACAAACGCTTTCCCGTATACTTAAAAGGGGACTGCGTGTGCACTCGTGGTTTACTGGAACACAGAACAGACTGTAGGTCCGACAACGACGGGAGAATTCATTAAGGCGAATAAAAGTGGAAATGAGTGCACTGACCAGTTGTTCCCTCTGGAATGTTGGCACTGTGTGCACGCACCTTTTTATTCAAAAATGCCGCGTTAATAATCTGAGGAAGTTGAATTCGAGGACAGCATTTAAACCTTTTTAAGCTGTATCAGCTCATTGGTTAACGTTGGAAAATGTTCACAAATAGTTTGTTTAAGTCATCTGATTTCCACGTCTCTGGGGTTCCGTGGTTAGGGTGGTCACACTGCCCACGATAACCACGTTTTTCCTCTGTGAATTTCCAGATGAGCGAGCAACCACCATTGTATCAGCAAAATACATTAAATGCTGCAGCGTAGGTTGCGAATTCCAGTATATGTTATACTTTTTCTAGGGGCTCCAGAATTAATGATCCACACATGATGGTAAATATCCCTTTCGTGTGTTAACCTTCCCTCTGATTTTAGTCTGTGCCGTACTATGTAAGTGACGTGGCTTGCTCTGGTTTAATGTTTTTCTGACTGTCGGTGTTTTGGACAGGTATATTTGAAAACCCCAGCGCCTTTTGCCCCGGTTGAATGTCCTAGGACCGTAAGATACCTCGTTGGACGTTGTGTTTCTTGTTCAGTCGTTCATTTCTCATACTAATTTTGGTGTACTTTGTTCTTTACAGCAGCCCCAAGCACCGCGTTTAGGTATGTTGCGCACTTAGTTGTATTCCCACTTTTCAGACGCAATGAGTTTCACCACAGGCGCTGCTGTCCCAATACATAATTACTATCAGTGTGTGGTGAGGCCTCCGGAGCAAGTAAACTACCTATACGGGATGCAGCGAATGCCGGTATTGTGCCAAAACATGATTCGCCCATATCTTGATCCCCCAATCCCAAACCAGATGACCAATAGTGTTGACTACGGACCATTAGGTTTCCCCCCTTACCAAACTATCTATCCACCGGCTGCACACACCAGCCAACCCTTGCAAAGCAGTGCGCCTATTCAAAGGCCGATCACTCCAGCAGCGTCGGTCGCTCCTCCGCCTCGCTTCACGAAGTCTCGTGAGAGGTGTCCCTTGCAGGTAAAAGACCCTACAACTGGCGCCAACGTCGACTTATCTCAAACGGAACCCAGGGATTCCCAACCAACCCCAAACGAGGAGCCTCCCCGTATCGCCACTCCCGAAACAGTAACTCCAAACGATACTTCAGTAAATGAAGGCACCCACGACCCTGTGGGTGGTCCTTCTGAAGTCCAGGTACCACCTGAACTTGTCCAGGGAGAAGAGTCTGTGATCACAGATGTATACGGTGAGCAAAAACTACATGAACAACAAGAACCACCTCGGCAGTATGGTGAGGTCGTCGAGCAAGTCTTAGAAAATGGTTCATCTGTGGAACCCCCAATGTCCAAGAAAGTTATTGATGATTTCATTGAAGTCGAATCTGGCGAAGAAACTGATGATAGTGATGTGGAGGACGCCGCGTACCGACGCATTTATCCAAGGGAGTTTTTACTCACATGCAAGGATTCTCCTGTTGCCAGAGTACCTCTTCAGGAATTGGCGGTATGTTGTGTGTTCAACATCTTACTCTGTTCTAGACATATTTTGCAGATTACAGCCGACCTCGCAAGGTAAGCTATCCTCAGTATTCTCAGTGCAAACTTTCAGGGTCATCGGAATACCGGTCGTGCCGCTCCCCAGAGGATAATCCGATTACCAACAGGATTAACGGTCAAAAGGGTTGAGGGTGCTTTCGTGCCCTCACATCTTCGGAAAAAAGAAGGTGCCGAAACAGATCACCAAAAGGTGCTCTCCAGGGAGCTTAACGTCATTCTTAACCGAGTTTCGGATGGAAACTTATCCGAGACTATCAGTGACATTAAAAATCTAAATATTTCCTCATCAGAAGACCTGCAGTTGTTGGCGAAACTGGTCTTTCAGAAGGTAAGAGATATTTATATCACGTTACGTTCGATTCAGAGTATTCGGCAACCCAAATACAGCAAAGTATTCTCGACTTTGTGCAAGGAGCTCAAAGGAGTAAGTTGTTGTTCAGGCTTTTGATGGATTAGTTCGAGGTATCCGGATCCGAACCTTTCGAAGGCTTGATTCTTTGCCAAGCACGAGAACTTTTCCATACTCCTCTGGAGGTATGTTTATCTAAATATGGTTGCCTAGCCTTTTAGACGCTCATTTCAGAGCTGAATGCAGCGATCGATGCCAAAATAGCTGCAGCCAAGGATGAGGCTGTCAAGCGAGTTCTTGAAGATGGTCGGGAGACGAATATCGTTAAAAAAACGGAAGCTTACTATGGAAACATAACATTCTTGGCAGAACTGTTTTTATGTCGGCTTGTTACGCCGAGGATAATGACCAAGTGTCTTAGTGATCTCAGGGATTCAACAGCACCCGAGGCTCTGAATTCGATGCTTATTTTGCTTAGAACATGTGGTCAAGAGTTAGAACAGCAGTCGAAAAGCGTGGTCGAAAGCTGCTTTTCCCGCCTTAACGGATATTTGAAATCTAATAAGCTTCCTACACATCGGGTTTTCAAAATTCAAGAATTGATTGATATCCGCGATCGTGGATGGAAGGAAATAGACCATGCACATGCTCCTCCTGATGCTCCAACCAAAAGGTCGGACGAGAAAGTGCGTTGGCCTTATGGCCAGCCTTCCGTTGAACCAAGTTTGTCGGCTACTTTCATCCTTACTTTTCTAGAACGCAAACCCGCTCAAGCGAACAATCCGTTAACTCCTTCAAGTCTCGCCGTCACACAACAGTCCCTAGACTCGAGGAAGCTTGGACCTGCACATGCCAACTGGGTCCACGGTAGTGGGCTTCTGTCCAAAAATCCTGCGGAGGACAAGTAAGTTAATGAATTAAAATCTCTTCATGTCTTATAAATGAAGACATCAGTCCTAAGCGCTGGGCCTACAAGGAGACGGTCACTAATGGGATGAGTAATGGAAGAAGCGTTGTCAAGGAGCAAGAAGGGAGGCGTCAGCAAGTGTTTTTACTTACCCGTCTCGCTGTATACAGCGAGTCGGGCGACCCGTCACGGGTCCACGCGACAGCCAATGTTGCGTGAGTTTATTATTATACTTAGGTACCATGGTTGTCCTTGGGCTAAGATATTGTCACGGCGCCGAAACGTAGATAGGAGGCCGACTAAGGTACTCAACCAAAGCCTCTGGCTAAGAATAACCGCAAAGCAGCGGTGTTTGGAGGGAAATGCAAGTATATTACCATTTTCACGCTATAAATGTTTCAACCCTCAACCAGGAGTAAGGGGAGACATTCCTAAAACCTCTAACCATTGACCGCTCTGGCGTGAGGGACTGCGACTTTCGCGGGACACCCCGTGTGTAGCCCCGAAAGTGCTGGAACATAATACGTTCTTTGTATTCTCAGACTTTTGGACGTGTGGCTGAACGACGAGCTCTCCAAAAGCTTCCGTACACAAAGCGGTGTCCGTCAGGGATACCCACACTCTCCATTCATAGATGAGATAAGGATACGAGGGCTGGATTCCAACAGCTAAAGACCTAGTCATCCCTACAGGTGGCTTGGGTTCATGGTTGTACCATGCATTAGGTAGAATCGCGTCCGTATCGGCTTCAACGAAGATTTTCAGCCCTGAAACTTCCAATAGATATCCTATACATTTTGAGTATTATAAACTCACGAGTGTGCTGAGAAACTCACCAACACTTTACCTTCAGCAGTTTTTCGTGATCGCACCCAGCCTGAACACACGAACGTCAGTTGGCGCCGTGCAGCGCGCTATTCCACCTCATTTTCGAGATGCTTTGCTGCAGATCGTATATTACGCTTCATGCGGCGGTTCCATGGCCTAGGTAGGCGAAGTGTTGCCTCTGATGTATATTACTTGTGTTATTGCTGTTTGAGATGGCTCAAATGGTAACAGCGCGTATTTAGTGACCGCAAGGTCCATGCTTCGTAACCGATCTCTGACTCTCGACTTCCTCTGTCTAGGCATGGGTAATCTGGCAGTATCTCAGCCCTCGTGGTTCCTTCGGGTGGCAGCTAGGCAACGGAAGGGTGTTACACCTGGAGGATTTTTTAAGGTCTAACCGATACCACATTTTGACCGATTTATCACGGATTTACAATTCCTACAAACTTCAAACATACACCTTTTCATTATTGACTAAGGGTGCCGTTGTCAATTTGCCGGTAAGGTCCATTGGTGAGGTGGACTATTGCTCTCATTCATAACGAGATCACCTAGCCAACCTTTATCCGCCTGAGGTAGGGGGGCTCATCGGTTAAAACGAGAAGGTCCGTGGTTCGAATCCGACCTCTGCATCTGGACTCCTGTCTAGGACTGAACAACCTGGGAGTATCTCAGCCCTCGTGCTTCCGTCGGATGGCGTGACAGCTAGACACCGGAAAGGTGTTACAACTGAACGATACTGCTGAATGATGACGCCCGTTGTTGTTTTGTAGTGTTAACGTTACTCCGAAACCATCAACCAAATTTCTGCCTTCGATTGGCCGAACGAACAGTGATTGCCTACCATTTTAGATCTAATTTATCACTCCAAATGGTTGAACAGGCGCAAAGTGGCAAAACTCGCCCGACCACTCCTCGGGACTCTACTGGCAGTCGTTGACGGCCCCACCACCACATGCGTCAAATAGAAGGGTGAACAGTCAGTCATCCTCCCCCCGTGATGCTACGAGGTGGTAGAACAAGCTCAAAAATGATACCATCATCGACAGCATCACACCAGTGTTCAACGCCGATGCTTCACTTCCGTACAGTCATGGTTCGGCTTACTACATACTACATAAATTACATACTTGGCTTGCTACAATCATCCTGAGGTGCATGCACCTTCAGACACTCATTCAGACAATCTGAATGAGTGAGGGTGCGAGATGGCCCAAGTGGTTAAAGCGCGAATTTACTGACCGTAAGGTCCGTGGTTCGAATCCGACCTCCGCCTCTCGACTTCCCCTATCTTGGCTTGGGCAACCTGACAGTATCCCAGCCCTCATGCTTCCTTCGAGTGGCTTTCTTTTTTCTTTCGGACAATCTGGATGGAAAAGGACAGCGAGAACGCCATTGACATCGGTTAATAACCATGGGGATCACGCGATCCCCATCCTGGAAGGCGAGCAGCACCGACAGCACCTAAACGTGTCGTAAACTCCTTAATACCCGTCTGCCAGGTCAAGCGTTAGCCACCTGTCTGCCTCCGCCACTCTGAAATGGGCATGGAAAACAGCTCTCTTCCGCAAACGATGGTTCGGCATACATAGCACATGTGCCGACCAGCGCAGCCTGTGAAGCTGGATACATTCCTCAATGAAAGAACCCGTTGCGCAACCGAAAACTCGCTCTCTAACTGCCTCGTTACGAATCCGCCGATACCAACCCTCTTGAGTTATGGCTCTGAGACAACGATTGTCGAATACCTGTAGACGTCCCATCATGTGGTCAAGCAGCCATACGACAAAAACGGCCCGCTCTGTGCCTTGATGCACAGATCTCTTGGGTTTAATGGATATACCGCTTTGATACGATAGGTGTCTAACATCAGCAAACGTGACCCGGGACTTGCAGATTCGTGCATTGATCTCATCTGTCTCAATAGGATCAGAACTAATACAACTACGTGAAACGCTCCACAACTTCCATTACCTCTCCCTGGGTTCTGAGTGGCGCGTTCAGCGAATGCACGTCCACTAGCATGACCTTACACTCTGTGGATGCAAAGTGTGTACCAAAGGACGGGGTGACTTCTGTCAATTCATCTGAAAACACCTGCGCCTTCTCTTCGAAGATGAGAACTATTTCGTCTGCGTATTCCAAATCGACAAGGTCTTCTTAGGCCATTTGAGCGCTAGGGTTTTGGAGACCTGTTGTGTACGACGGGGGTCGGAGTGCAACGACAATCAGAATGACAATGGAAAAGACTGAGGGCCCTAAGGCTAGGCTTTGTTCATCCAAAACTTTGACACTGAGAGCTGGAAACGGATGAAAGTGATTTAGCAATAAATGATGAAACGTTTGAAAAACAGTAAATATACAACATCCACCCCCCCACAGAGATGAAAGTTCTCAAGAGTTTGATTTATAATTGAATAATGCCAGGCCTCTGTTGCGCAGTACATACGGCCGTGTCCGCTGTTGTTGTATAACCAATGGGTGTTCAGAAGAATTCGACATTTCACTTTCCGAAGCATAGTCAGATAGTTCGGGCTTAATAAATGAATCAGCGTTGGACTGCNGTGTCCGCTGTGTATAACCAATGGGTGTTCAGAAGAATTCGACATTTCACTTTCCGAAGCATAGTCAGATAGTTCGGGCTTAATAAATGAATGAATGTTGGACT